GCCTATAGTTCAAGTTTGACTGTGCCACTTTCTTATGTGCTGCCACTGTTGTAAAAGTGTAATGTCAAATAAATATTATTATTTATTTACCCCACTCATTTCCATCTACACCATAAATTCCCAACCGATAATTAAACACTTAAAAATACTAAATCCAAAGTTCAGACAAAATTTCGAAAAGAAAAAATAAATTGATAACACATTAGCATTAATACAACGAAATATGCAATATGAAAAACTAAATCACCTTTGGATTGGATTTATTTGGTGTAAACACTAATGATATTATAATAACCCACGAGAGTCTAAAGAAGACATAGGCCTACTGTGAGGTCGTTCTGGTAGTGAAATTGTTTTTTTCTTTTACATTAATTTCCACAAATTTTGACATAATTCTTGAATTAACAAATTATCTTACCCACGAATGATGGAAGTGGACTATGCCATAAATATGCCTATATGTCGTAAGGGTGTTCGTGTTCCCATCCCTTATTTTCAGGGAACAACATTGGGAAAATGTTTGCTGTTTTCAAATCCAGCTTACATAACGACCCAACTTGCCTACATGCCACATAATTGAGCATTTACCGGTAGTTTTTTTTTTTTGGTTTCTAGCACGCCTGATGTAATGAAATTCGAAACATCCTCGCAACTTTCATATACAGTTTACTTAAGATGCACTGTTAGCCGAAAAAGTCAGAAAAATCTCAAAATAATTAAATCAAATTTTTTAATAGCTTGTTTAAAATGGACCATATATATTATTAACTTCCAAACGAAAAAATGTTTTTTTAAAAATCTTTATTCATTTCATCATAAAGAAAACAAAAATAATAGATACATGTTAAAATACTTGATGAAATTGGAGCTCATTTGAACCTCATAGAGGTTGTGGAGTTATGAGTCCATTAGTAATTAAATTTTGTTTATTCAAATACATTAAAATAGTTAAAAGTTACATGACAATAAAGAGACAACAAGGCAAAACCTTACATAAGTTGGACAGAAATGCAAGTAATAAATGTTTAATTATACAAAAACCCTTTGGCCAATTGATTACAACCAATATTCTGGGATTAAGTGTTTATTTTAGAATAAAGGAAAGGTAGGCCTAATAGGCCCATGTAACTGGCCGTTAATTGAAATTGAAATTTTTTACATGACAATAAAGAGACAACAAGGCAAAACCTTACATAAATTGGACAGAAATGTAAGATAAATGTTTAAACTACAAAAACCCTTTGGCCAATTGATTACAACCAATATTCTGGGATTATGTGTTTATTTTAGAATAAAGGAAAGGTAGGCCTAATAGGCCTATGTAACTGTCCGTTAATTGAAATTAAAATTTTTTATCATTTAAATTTTCAAATATAAGTTAATGCCTCACATAAATATACAAATTACACGGTTCAAATGTTGAATTTAATTTTTCATTTTTTTAGCTCATGACCGACAATGCAACTCTACGATTCTTGAACTGCCGATAGGTGGCGCTATTAACAAAATACAAAATTTAATTTAAATGTGCTGTACTGAGTATATTTTGCAGATTTATGTTATAACGTTTCAGTCAGTTGTATGAGGAAGTGTCTGGCGGGTTAGTACTACTATACGATATCCTATAAATCTCTGTGGTCTAATGGGTATGATGCCTTGACAGCGAGAGTTTGTATGTTCGAATCCCGCCAGAGACACTTTTTTTATACAACTGAAATAAAGGAACTTGTCATTGATGAGCTTTGTATATATATATATTATATATATTATATATATGATATACATACTATATATAATATATATATATATATATATATATATATATATGTGGTGCAACGCCTCAGGAGCAGAGCGCTCAGTAATGGAGTAGAGCTAATTAAGTTTCTAATTGCTAATGATGTGTACTACATGATAAGGATTGAGAAAGGAAGGTCTTGAGAATCTGATACACATGTAGACAAGGATTGATGAAGAGCCATAATTATGAAATGTAATCCTTACAGATGGGAATATTCATACTCTTGGAGTTGTTGATACGTGGGAAGACCAACAGTAACTGGAAAAGGGGATTTTAAAATATTTGAAAAGATGGTATTCAAAGCAAGTTGATTGGGCGAGAGGTTAAGTCAGGGTCACCGTAACTTCAGCTATAATATCGGCGCTGGTTTGAACGGCTCACTCGCCAATGGTTCCGGTGGTGGTCTTTGTGGATAAGGACCTTAAACCATAGGCCCATTGTACGTATTTGGCTCATGTGCACTTTAAGAGAACCCAGTACATCCTTCGAGAAGAGTAGAGGTTACCCCGGTGTACTGCTCCATTAAGCCCCCTGTTGTTTAATGGATATGCCACGTAGGACAGTGATTAAGTTCGCTTATTGGCATATCCTTGGCGCTTGTTCCTAAAGAAATGAAATGAAAATGAAAAATGAAATGAAAGGGAGATTTATTAATGCCTATTCAACCATTTTTTTTTTCTCATCAATTTTAAAATAGGCATTTGATTGTTTTTTTTTTCCCCAAAATGTAGTGTCGAACTGAATCAAAATAAACAACCATTCATGTTTAAAACACATATTTATTATACATATAAAACATTGAGCTTGAGTATTCACAATTAAGATACAAAGTTCAAATCAATAGCTTGCTCTGTTTATCATCACCATTGTGCAGGGCAAGGCGATTCCAGCGATATATGCGCCAAAGAAATTTTATATGTGCCCAAGAAATTTTATATGTGCCCAAGAAATTTTGTCCGAAAATTTCTGACCCGAGTTGGGTTGACTAACATATGGGAAAGTCACATGTGTTAGTCACATGGGTTGACTAACACATGTGACTTTCCCATATATGGGCATGTTATGAAATCAGCATATCACATACAAACTATATTTTTAAATATACATTTAAATATGAAGAGGATCGCAAATTACAGTATAGTGAGCATTTGCTTTTACTACATTTTTAATCAGAAATACTGATTTTTATACATTAATTAGAAAAGCTATGGCAACTGCGGTTTATATATGATGGCACTCAGCCGTATCAACCGCTTGGTTGAACTTGTATCCTTCTACTGTTAAGACGTATCGAACGCTTGCTTAGAGTCCTTTCGCCTTGAACTATACAAAGATTTTGCAACTGTAGACACAAGTCACCAGCAGTCATGAGTGAGAATTATTTATTATTACAGGCAACAATGCGGTATCATGCGCTACCATCATGAAGCAACATATTAACGCTGCCACTCACTGCGTACGATGTTCGTCGGCTGATGTGATTCTATACAGAACGCAACATGACGACGTGTGCGCAACAGATCGTTTTTAATGACGAACAGTTCAGACTACCACAGACAATTAGTAGATTGCGTCACGTTGTCTATCGCTCACAAAGAGTGCAGTTGGATTCGTCGTGTGATGGTTGTTCGACCGTCATACGACACAGTCAACGCCAGTTTAAGTTGCAATGTTTCTATAGACCCTCGTCTGAGGGCAATGCACGTCAAAGAGATTACTCGTTGCCACACTGCAATTTATAGAAATATCGCTAAGGTTGATCACAGGTGTCACAATTAGCATAAAATGGGTTAGTGTCCGGAAAATTCTTGCTAGTTTGCGGGAGTGTGTGAGAATCTGCCAAGATATCTAAAAGAATTGTTATGGTATGTTATCTACAGTCATAACATAGTAACAACTGCCTCTGTCTTCTGCTATTGGTGGAGCATTCTTTGCTATGAACCTCCAGCCGATCCATTAGAAAACATGCTTTTGTACATTGCCTTTGTTTTCTCATCTTGGTTGGCCAGCTCTGTTTCACATTTGGATATATATTTCTTGATACTGGGATCTGAAAGGAAAAGTCAGGAAAAAAGCATCACAATGAAATGATCATTTGTAATAAATTATAAATCTAGGATTACAAAGAAAAGTTATTTGTTTGATATATGTTTGATTCATAATATAAATGAGTACCTTCAGTAGTATAAGGGTTTATCATATTGATCTCTGACATTTGGCATGCATCAAGGACTAGTGTTGTGCAAATATGCACGTACAAAAGTGCAAGGAATTATTAGCTATAATTGGATTTGAATTCCCAACAGAGCCTCAATGGCCAGTTAGTTAAAGCGCCTGTGCTTCAACTTACCAACAGTGTCCTTTGAATGTCTCTTTGCTTGGTGAAAACTCTCCAAAGATGAAGTGAAGTTTCTTTTGTGATAGTAGGCTAGGCCTTGCCTGTAGTAGGCTTTCACATTCTTGCTGTCCAGTTTGATAACATTCATAGAGTACTCAGCTATTCGGTCATAATTAGGTTGATCATCTTGCAGTAAACAAACTAGAGAGATACAGCATTATGTTAGATAAAGATAGAAGATAAGAGAATAACCCATAACTCGCAGTGTCACTGTGCATATGGGTGCAGTCTGTGACTGCTAATAGGAGCTTTAGAGAGGCACTTAGTTCACATCATTCCACAATGTCAGGGGCTAAAGTGAACCATCAAGGAGTAACCCCCTACACTTCTGAAATACACACACAGCTAAAATCTTCAAGTGGAGAACTAACTGGAGAATAGAATAATGGGATGGAAAGAAAAATCTCTGCTAAAAATAATAGCTGAACAGATGTAAAAAAATGCCTGAGCCCCAACACAAATCAATGTCATTTTGAAGTTAGTTTACCTGATAAATTATTGTAACATCCAATCTCTATATTCTTTATTTTATCCTTAATATCATTAGTCAAGCCATCTTCAATTGAAGGTTCATTCACGCTTAGCAACACAGACCTCATTGCTTTCATTTGTGCGTTGTCTTGGAGGCCTTTAAGGAAGAGTAAAGCACGGTGGTACTTCCCAATTGCTTTTTTGTATTCTTTCTGTTTATACAATAAGTTGCCTTCTACTTTGTAGCTCTCTGCTTGTGTGATCCTATCAGCTGCTGATGAAGGCATTGCTCTTGCCCGCTCTGATGCATTTGCCATATTTCGCTGCTTGTTTGTTCTTAACACTCTTTTTTAAATCTTGTGAATGCTTTCTTATAGGTCTGCAAAATTTAAGTATAATTGTGGAAAATTAATACAGAAGAGTATAGACTGAGTGCTGGCAATATCATAGTTAGTTGAAAATCTCAAAGAAAGAAAAATCAAGCGAAATATTATCAAAATAATTTTTGAGTAAAAAACTAGAGGGCTAATAGTGTAAGTCTCACAGGAATGTATTTAGTTCATTTTTGAAGAGAAGAATATTCAGTATTTTAACACATAGATAACCATCTAACTAGGTGAAGACCGAACTACCTTGTGCCACACTGTGTAATGTTATAAAATTTCGCCTAGCTTCATAGCTGTAGCTAGTTTGAAAAGCTTTAGAAAACGTACATCATGTTAAAAGCATAAAAGTTTAAATACCCATTTATTAATATATAAATATGTAAAATGATGTCATATTTTACTATGCACACTATGATGGTCCTTGACCATGGTGCTGGTCAGAAACACCTTGTATATGAACATAGGTAAGTGGGATAGAAGAAAAAAAAATAGAACAAAAACAATGGATTTTTCTGCTAAAGCAGGAAAGGGCAATAAAAAATATGAAGTAAAAAATAAAATAAACATGGAAACCAACGCGACGTTAGTGAGAGTAGAACGTCAATGGTAATACCGAGGATGATATGGAGACTCGTGTGGTGTTTATGTAAATTTTTTTTTTTGAACTTTTAAATCTTGCTGAGGAATTCAATTTTCTGTTTATATTTTATTGTATTACAGACAATAACATTTCTTGCACCACCACTGCAGTATCATTGCATAGGCTTGTGTTGGCGTTCTCTTGAAGATGTTTTTTGAAACGGAACCACAAACAAACGTGCAGTACTATGAAAAAAATGCATCACACCTCTTAAATCCTGGTTCACTTTAGAGCAACTTGGATGTAAACCCTAGCAATGCTACAACGCTAATTACAGTCAGTTACCAGGCGATTTTTAGAGGGATTCACTTGACTGTAGATTGTTGATCCTTTCTTATCCTTTTTTGACCGACTCAACTTGCATTTAAAATTTAAAAAAAGTGTATGATATATGTTTCTGTGAACTGATCCATTAAGATCTGAAATGACCAACTCATATTTTGGTATGGAGGACATTCCCCCCACAAACCACCAGGAATCTCCACCACTGTCTGTGCACATTCTGGCTGGCTCTGGGGAGCAGTGGGAGTACCAAAACACAAGTAAACTTTTTCACAAATGGGAAGAATGAGATTGTCTGCTTGATAGCAAGTGTGTAGAAAACTACAGTATTGCAGGCATGCTTTGTACCCCACATTTCCATTATGTACATTTGTTACAGTGGTGAATCTAGTGGAGTAACGATGGGGCGGGGCCCTGTGGCTCTCCGAGACTGGGGGCCCTTTTGGAGTCCCGGTCGCCAATTCCATTGTGAGATTTTAGATGTACCCCTTTTTATATCACGTTTGTCATTGTATTACAGCAATAGTTTTAACAACGAAATAAATGATATCAGCGGCAGACCCAGGAATTTGAAATGGGGGTGGGGTAGAATTTGTTACAGTAGTGAATCAAGTGGTTTAACGATGGGGCTGGAGCCTCGTGGCTCTCTGAGACTGGGGCAATTTTGGAGTTCCGGTCGACAATTCTATTGTGAGATTTTAGATCATGTTTAATCATGTTTGTCTGTTTGTCATTGCATTAATGTTTTTTAACAAAATAAATGATATCAGTGACAGACTTTTAAATAGAGGGGGCCGCCACCACACCCACTTAACTCCCACCCATTTCAGGACTAGGCCTACATCACCACTGCTTCTAACGTAAACTAGGCCTAAAGTAATATTCAATTCAATTCAAACATTTTGCGTACTCCTTTGCCTGATTGTCTTCTAGCCTTGCTAGCTAAGCCTAGGAACGCAGAACATACAAACCTACGGTTACACCTCTAATTTGGTTCATCTTCGTTTCAGGATAAAGCCTAGGCGGCAGGCCTAGCCAGTACGGATAATGAATATAGATAGGCCTAGAGCCTAGCCTGGTAGGCCCTAACCTACCGAACGCAATGACGTTGATTCAAAAGGTAATCATATTGAAACTTTCATAAACACTTCTATCACGATACCACTTAAAAAACATTAAAAAAAACAACTCACAAACAAAGCTAGGCCTAGGGCCGCCTACTAAGCTGTAACTGTTGGTCTGATCCAGGCCTCAGGCTAGCCTACCAGAGAGGCCGCATTCAAGCTAGCTCGTCGCTGAGAACAACAACATGGGCAGATGACGACCTTCGCAATCGAGGGGTGGCCTAGCCAGCGCGATCTAGCTGCTGGAGGATCTACAGACGGTATGCTGCCCCCAACACTGAATCTATAAACTGCATGCACAAACTATTGACACCAGGGGGTCAAACAGGGCTGTGTTTTGTCGCCCATTGTATTTTCATGAATGAATTTACAAAACTACTTAGATCCCATGATATTGGTGTACATATAAATAACAACTGGCATGGAGCCCTATTCTGGGCGGATGATGTAGTCTTACTGGCAGAAGATGAGCGCCAGTTGGTTAGAATGCTTGAGATTGCTACTAAATTTGCAAAACAATGGAAATTGAATTTTAATTATGAGAAGTCTATAAAAGGAAGACCGAAGACCCAAAAACGAAGACCCCTAGTTTTTCTCTTTCATTTTGATGATAATACGCCAGGCTGTCACAAAATCAAAATTACGAAATTTTTTGGCCGTATGTTTGTGAAATTTTCAAGGGTCTTCGTTTTATAGACACCCTATATGGGCATACACCGACTTTCTGATTAAATTAATTAAAGACGAAATGAAACCAACAACCAACGTATTGCGATAACTTTTTTTTATTGAAGTATTTTTCATATATTCAGTGTTGATTTTTATTTCTAATGTATGTGTAGTAATTAAATTAACTGATCAATTAATTCAATTAATTGATTGGTGATTAATTATTTGCGTATCATTGTGGCATTGCGTAAATTTTTCACAATATATTATTTCACTATATATTACTAGATTTAATGAAATATGAAAGATACAAAAAAATATGGAATTGAATTTACATTTTCACCTCTTTTTTTACTAAGGAAAAAGACGTTTTTCATAAAATTACGAGCATTCCACATTTTACGTACAAGCAAATTAAGTATACTGGCAGAATATG